CTAATCACAAGACAAGCCTCTCATTGGATAATACCAGCCCAAATAGATTACGCAGTCCAAGTTACTATACCCAATGATACCGACATTAGAAAGTGGCAAGTTAGAAGACTCATAATTAATTACCATTTTCCACACTCTTCCATCTTAGTAGTCATTAAATTTATCTGAATATTAAGAGCCTCTGTATAATTACGCGACTCCAAAGCTAATTATTATAAAAAATTATTTAGCATCAGCATAAATGTCTATACAATCTAAAGAAAAAACAAAAAATGTTTAAAAGATTACCATGAACTAAAGCTGACAACGACTCAATCACAATAGGTGATACTTCTTCGTTATTCAAAGCATCGAAAAGAGTATTGAGCCGTTTTTCAGTGTCATCTAGCAATTTTTTTTGTGCAGGCTAAAAATCAACATTTTTGTTAATATAAAATCGTAGAACTTATAAAAATGAATGAAATCAAAAGAGTAAACTATGATTACGGGGGAGTTATGTCGAGCTTTCAACAATTCATTATTTAATATATCGTATATAGGTTTTTGAGAAGCTGGGATATGTGTTCTGTCCCCTGGAGCTATAATCAACAAGCAAAAATTAAGATCATTGAACAAAACAATAAATTGAATTCTTATAATTAACAAATGGAATACTTGCGATGTTTGTCATTAACAGGTGTGGGCGTTTTTGCTGGAGTAGGTGCCCTAGCGGTTTGAAGAACCGGTGCAGGTTGATTTGGTAAACCAGCCTGTTGGGTAGCAAGTGGTGGTGGCGGTGGTGCAGAATAACTGATATTGGTCGAAGGATATGCAACATTCGACGAAGGAACGTATTCCATACTGCTAGCTTGGTAACCAACGTTAGTTTGAGGTGGAGGAGTGGGTGTTGAACGATCTGCTTTATATGTTTGAGAAGGCTGTACAGGTCGTTGTGGAGAAACGCCAGAAAAAGCTGGCGGTGGCGGATAGAAAGCAGGTGGTGCTCCTGCTCGATTCGCTTGTGGTGGTGGTGGTAATATGGCACCAGTTCCCGGTAAATTTTGTGGAATTGTCGCAATGTTGTGGGGGGGTGGTAACGCAACATTTTGTCCCTGGTTTGCTGCAAAATTTGGAGGAGGTTGTAAAATGGCGTTTTGCCCCTGTGCCACTGCGAAATTTGGTGGAGGTGGCATCATGACATTTTGTCCTTGAGTCGCTGCAAAATTTGGTGGGGGTGGCATCATGACATTTTGTCCTTGAGTCGCTGCAAAATTTGGTGGTGGTGGTGCATTATGTAACGGAGACGCTGAATTTGGGAAAGGAGATGTAATTGGAAGTGGCTTATTCACTTTTGTCTGAGCGGGTCTCTTTCCCGTCTGACCAGGGGTCACTAGTGGAGGATCGTTCCAATTCGACAAACCTTTCTTATAAGCAGGTTGAGCTTCGACTGCAGGTGGAGCGTTGACATTTTGATAGTTTTCGTTGGGCACGAGGGGCTGGGGAATCAAACTAGTATTATCTTGATATGACTGATTATATCCGGGGAAATTCTGATATGGAGATGGCGCATATTGATTATAAATCGGTTGTTGACCCTGTTGGACATTTTGTATAGGTGGCGGTTGAGGTTGATACGGTACATTAGGAACCACAGGCTGTTTATTATAAGTATATTGGTCATATACTACTTGTGAAGCACTTGGATCTATTTGAGGTGCATTATATGAAGTGTCTCCGGCGCTAATATTAGTGGGCTGATTAATTACTCCATCTGCACCTACATAAACCTCCGAGAATGGGAACAACGGTTCTTTGGTACCTCCGACATCAATACCCGAATGATATATACGTTCTTTAATTATCGCTAAATAACTAGTGCCATTGGATGAAGTTATATACCCTAAAGGTGTCAAGTTCAAATACTTAAGAGCGGTAGTCAATTGACCTTGAGAAGAAAGAAACTCCGCATATTCTGTATATTTGTCATAAAGTGCAGCTAGTTTGTATTGCTTATTATCTTCTCCGCTTGACGAATCCAAACTTTGCACTAATGCTGGATCGACATAATCAATAGCTTTACAGAATACAATTATTTTCTCGATTAAACTCTGAAGTGTTCTAACCCTGTAAGAGTATCTCGAACCAGCGAAATTTTCTCCGTTCTGAATACCACGTTCAAACTCATATTCTTCTTCCTCTTGTTCAGCGATCCAAATGTTTATAACGTTTTCCAAATTCCCAGCGGCAAGATAACATAAAACAGCATTTTTCCTACATTCCAAGCCTTTCTTTCTACTTTCAGTTGTTGATGACAAACCAACTAACTTTCTATATTCTTGTTCTAATCTCTGACCCAGAGAGTTACATAATCCTCCAAATTCTTCAGAACGTGCAAATGTACAAAGAACAACTACGATTTCCTGCCATTCGGACAAATCCGCGTTAAGTACAATGTCGGATAAGTCACCAGAAACAACGCTTTGGAGAAGACGCAGATAAGGAACTGAAGATACTCGTTTTTCAAAGTAGGCTTTTCGTGTGCGCTGCAAAAGTTCAGGACCACCACAACCCGCTAATAAAATTGCATCTGACAGCCTATCTACATCTAAACATAGGTTAACAGCAGATTCGAAATTACCAAGTACAATTGATCTAGTGATCAATTTGTCAATCTCTGATTCTTGTTCGGGATAGATTTTGAAAGCCCCGAGGCTATAAGGTTTATTAGAATCCGAATTGTCGTTCTGCACGGGAAACACATCAGGAATAACTTCCGAATTAAAGAAGTTGGATGCATCGGACGTCTCTCCAGAAATATTTGATCCAACGAAAAGTTCATCTACACTTTCTGACTTATCCGATGGTTTATCTACAACATTTTGTTCATCATCTTTAGTGATATCGCTAGTAATTGTGGATGAAGGAGCACTGGTATCATCCTCATGTTGCACTGTATCTTGTAAATCTGTCGATTCAGAAGTAACCTTATCCACATCCGAAGACTCATTTAAATTCATTGCCTTTATTGCAGTTGAAATTTGCGAGATTATGTCTACTTTTGAGAATCCGAGATGTTTAACTAACTGCTCTCGTGCGTTTTCATTATCATTAAATATCGTATGGAGAACTTTCCAATTTTCCGATTCAAACTCGTTATTCGCCTGCTTTTCCCGATTTTCGCAAAAGATGCCAAGAGATTTTTCATCAACAGCAGTTTCTAATTCAGTAGATCTTCGTACGACATCTGGCTCTGAAATTACACTGTATATTGACACAATACGTTTATTGGCAGTAGTGTCGGTGGATGCTTTATTGCAAAATGATACAAGTTTACCACCAAAGCCGAAACTTACTCCCACTGGCCTTCTAAGCCATTTAGGAGGTTGTTTTAATGAGAGAGACGGTTGTAACGCTGGAGCAATTGGTGCAAAGGGATCACTGTTGTCTGATATGTCCCTCTGTTCTACATTATCATGACTAGATTGTAAGGAATGAACGCTAATCTTTAAAATATTTGTCAAGTTAGTACTCTATTAGTGTAGAGAAAGATGAAAGTTATGTATTAAATACCTTTCCGTCAAAGGATGCTGACGCAAAAAGGTCTGGGTTCCCAGGGCACCATTGTACATCAAAAGCCCAATTCAAACTTCGAGGTAGCTAAAAAAACAGTAAAATATTTATCAGTAGTGTTCAAATATGTAAAGGTTGTCTGCTTATATAGAATACCTCTCCTATTATTTCACCAGTTCTAGGGTTCCAGCAAAGAGTCCGATTATCTTTTCCACATGAAAGTAGTAGGTCTGCATCTTTTTGACACCAAGAAAGTGACAAAATACCTTTTTGATGTCCCGTCAAAACCTAATTTAAATATAAATTCAGAAAATCGAAAAATAACACTAAATCCCACCATGCTTTTCATGATATACCTTTTCTGGTGCATGTGCGTTACGAAGATCCCACATAAGGATTACTGGGTTGTTATCATCTTCTGATGCAGTTATTATTTGAGTTGCCTTTAGTTTTGAAAACTGGATTAGTAAAATATACATTCGTAAAAAATTGAGGTGAAATATAGAAACTGACTATATCAGGGTTCCATGCAATTGCAGTAACACCCCTCCTACCACCAGCCCCTGGAATATTCATAGAGCCCATGCCATAACTACTTGCTAAGGAACCTGCAGGACCTGTGTATGATAAATTGACCACTTCACGTTTATACTTCAAATCCCATATTACGGTATAACCCGTATTTGAGGAAGTCGCTAGAATATGTTGTACTTGATTGTTCCAAGATAAATGAGTAATTTCCTCCATTTTCAATGACCTCGTTCCTGGTGTATATGGTTTATCAGGGTTGGATAGGTCCCAGATAAATATCTACATTCAATAATATAAATTTAGTAATAATTTGCGTTTTTCCAAATCAAAACAAGATCTATACCTCTCCGTTCGTTGCGGCTGACGCCAACAGATTGTTTTGAAAAGGGTTAAACTGTAGTCCCCGAACATTTCCAGAATGTGCCGTATTGTGTAAAATCAGTGACTTCTCAGCACTAAAAATTAAAACAATAAGAATGAAAATATTATAATCTTCCATAATACGGAATTATTTGTTAAACAAATCTGATAGTCACACAAACAACTAGTGGAAAAACAAAATTATGACTTACTCGCCACCCTCCAAGATAATTGAAGGATCCCATAAGTTCAACTCGCCATTTTCCATTCCGCCGGCAATAATTCCGTAAGGCTTGTCGCTTGCAAACCCCCAAACTAGACGATCAAACCTAGTTGTGTGATCAAGGATTTAACTGCCGATCAATACAGTCGAGTCTTGATTATGAAAAAACTTGAATATTCTTTGAAATTCATAATAATTATGAAAAGTTTTAATGGTTTTTTTTAATATTGTTAATAAGATTTTTATTTTTCCAATTTTTTCTTATATTTAATTAATTTAATATATAATTATTAATTTTAAAATAATATTAGATTAATTTTTTTTAAATTAAACTTTTTGAAATAAAGAAAAAAATTTTGAAAAGAAGTTTATATTTTTTTAAATAAGTAAAATTAATTTTAATTATTTTTTTAAAATATATAATTAAAGTTTTTTTATTATATTTTTTTATTATATCTTATTTTAAATCTATAATTAAAAAAGTATTAATAAAAAATATCAAATATAATATATAACAAGTCTTCTAAAAAAAGCCTGAATTAACTAATTCAATTCTAAATCATTTATAATAATATACTTTTGATATTGTTGTATATAATATAATTGTAAAGATCTAATTTCTTAAATATTAAAATAAAAAATGAATTGAAAAAAATGAAAAAAAACCATAGGAAGAGGCATATTTAGGCAAAACATTACTATAATGGCACAAGATGGATGAGAAACTCTGCGCAATTTGCAACTCACCTGACCATATGATAGCACAATGCACAATTAAGGCCAAGTGTCAAGAAAAACAACAAGCACTCAGAGAAAAAGCAAAAAGATATAAGGTACTTTATCAATGTTTCAAACCAGAAAGAACAACACAAATCAGAAAAATTGCAAACCAGCAAGCTAACAAGTCAGAAAACTATAATCGGCTCAGAGCTTGAAAACAATTTAACAAGACCACCTACTGGTTTTCAGACAAAGGATTATTTGCACGCATAGCCAAATAACTTTTCATCAAATTATCAAATCTAATAGCAGGGAACCCTACAGCAATGATCAATCTCCAGTTATCGCTAACAGAAGTCCTCAAGGCAGTCCAAACAATAAAAGCAAAGCTGAAACAAATCAAAGTCAATAAGGATTGTCATGTAGTAATCATTATCTTGCTGGATTGTCATTTTGTATACTTTTTGTGCATTCTTTTGATTGACAAAGAAGGTGATAATCAATTTTGCCTCCTGTTGCTGCACCATATGAGCACCTGTATAGGAGTCCAGATATGTGACTGCTTCTTTGACTGCCTTAAGTTTTTGCTCCATAAAACCTGTTAGATATTCTGTCTAAATAGCCGTTTTGTAGTGAAATGGCCATACTGGATGCGCCAGTTTGTAGGCAGGCCCAGTGGCTGTCTGAATTGTCTGAGTGGCTTGGTGTTGGCAGGCAGAGTCTCTTCTGTTTCACTTACTGGTTCTGTAGGCATTGTTTCTTTATTTGACTCACCAAACATTGGTAGGGTGTATGCCTACTAGAGCTCTTCTATATCCATACGGATGTCCTCCACTTAAGTGAAGGAAGCATCTATTTCTTCTTCTGAAGTTTCTAGCTAGCTGGGTGCCTTGCTTCCATCTGCTTTGGACATGATTAGCCATTGGTTTTTCTTTTGTTTTTGTTGCATTTTGGGTGCCTGATGTAGTAGGTGGTTGGGGCGGGCAAGCCTACGCTCCTGGGGATGTTGGGCTTGTGTGTTGCCATGGTGAGTGGGCCTTTTGGACTAACTTTCGGCTGTTTACTATAGATTTTAGGTAAATCTAAATGAACAGGAAAAAGTTTTTTTTTTTGATAATTATAAACAAATTATTTATATAAAGAAATAAAAGTATTAATAAATAAAGTTTTTTTAAAAATAGGTATTATAATTACTTAAGATAAAGATTTTAAAGATTAAATTCAATTCAATTTATAATTTTTAAATTTATATTAAATTTATTATAAATTTATGTAAATCTGTTTGATTTCAATTTTTAAAATTATATTTAAAACTATATAATATAATTTAAGAATACAAATAGTTCTAATAAACTAATTCAAATAATTTATTACTATTTTTTTTTTTTTATATAAATAATAAATTGTTATTAACAGTATATTAACTTTGCTTTTGAATTTTAAGATAATAAAAAAATAGGGTTTTAATATTTCAATTATTTTAAATATATAAAAAAAATTTTTTTTATAATAATAGTAATTTTATTTTTTGTTAAAAATAAATTACTATAAATAATAGATCTTTTATTAAAAAAAATTATTTTTTAATTTGATTTTTATATAAAATAATATTATATTATTGTCAATTAAGTTAAAAAAAACTTGTAGAACTTTTAATAATATATTATTTTAATATCACTTTAATACTATAAATTTATATGAGTAAATCATAATTTATATATTAAATTTACTATAAATTAGTATTATTTTTAATATCAATTTGATATCAGTTTAATATTTTTGGAACTTTAAAAACTTGTAGTTTAATAATATTATTAAGTTCTTTTATATTAATAGTAATAAGTAAAATGAGTTTTTAAAAATTGTAAAAAAAAGTTATAATGAAAATAAATTTAATAGAAATTTGATTATTAAAAAAAAAAAATCAACATAATAGAAAGAAAGTATAATCAAAAGAATTAATTATATAAGAAAAATTGTTAAGAGAAATTATATTAGAATTAATAGATTAAGATTGCAAATAAATTTAATAATTAATAAAAAAGTTTTTTTTAAAATTAATTATATTGTTATAAATATATTTTAATATTATAAAAATATTAAATTAAAAAAAGAAAAAAATCAAATTTTAATTTTAAAAGTTTTTTTAAAATAATTTGATGAATCTTTTAAATTTAAAAATTTTATAAAGTTTAAATATATTTATTAAAAAAAAATTATTATTTAACAATAAAATAGTAAAATACAAAATTTTTTTATTTTTAAAAATCTTATTAATATTTTAAAAATTTTTCAGATAATGAAATAAGAGAAATATCAAATTATAACTTGAATATTCTTTGAAATTCATAATAATTATGAAAAGTTTTAATGGTTTTT